GCTGCTGGTCGGTCGGGCAGCTTTATCTTGCCTCATGCTAGCCTCTATACTTCCTTTGTCTTGGTCTTCTCCCACTTCCTGTTTCTTCTTTCCATTTGCTCTTCTGTATCAGAGGGATGTTTACTGTGTGGTATACTGAATGTTTACATGCCGAAAAATGGAATAATGGGCTTCCAGGCCCGTAACAAATTCCACAGGGAAGATGGTGGACCCTGTTGCCAGAGCTTGTTGAGCACTTAACGCTGGGTTGGTAAGTGTGAGCAACTGTAAAGAGACGCCATGCCTCCTGCCACTACAGTTTAGGGAAGGCATAGAAGGTGCTGGTAACTGACAGCCTTTATGTTTAGCTTATCCATAGAGCTACAAACCACTGATCCCTTGGGAAGGACTAGGCTGTGGTCACAGCCATCTGGTCCAGAGCACCCAGGTGATTACAACAGAAAGCATCTACCAGGCTGCACACTTGGAAACCAAGAAGAAACCACTGATCCAGGAGACATATGTATGACTTCAGGACCTTGCATCCCCATCCTGACCTCCACGTGGAAGGACAGCTGACAGGACCTTGGTCACCCCATGGGATGACCAGGTTCAGGACAATGTTGATGAAGCAGGGAGAGGTGACTGCAGTGCCTGTGTTTCCCTTTGCACAGAGCCCCAGGTCTGTCTGCAGGCCGCACTCTGCTTCTTGGCTGTTTTACTAGACCACACATACATCCTGTGCCCAGATGGTCACAAGTTAGTCATAATGACCCTGGAATGCACTGAGGAGACAATCCCGTCAGAGCATGTGACAACAGTTAAGACCAGTGCTTTCCATTCTGAGTACTAGACTTATCTTTTTGTTTTTAGCTCGTGTATGTGGTGTGTGTGAATGTGTGTATGTATGTGGGGGCATGTGTATGAGGGTGCATATACATGTGTGTGGAGAAGCTAGAGGGTGATATCATGTGTCATCCTTGATTGCTCTTTGCCTTGCAGACCGAGGCCAGTCTCCCTGTGAACTCAGAGCTCGCTGACTCTCTAGTCTGATAGCCAGCTTGCCCTGTGCATTCCTGCCTCTGCCACCCAACCTGTGGGCTTGCAGGTGGGCTGCCACACCCATCCTGAATTATGTGTGTAACTAGTCCTAGTGCTCACTCAGCCCGAGCTTTACCTAGATGCCAGGTTGTTTTCCTAACCTCTAGACTTGCTTTTAAAGAAGGCAGGGTGCCCCAGCAAGATGACTCAGTGGGTCAAGGGTAGAGATCCGTGTCACCAAGCCCTGCGACTTGAGTTTAAGCGCAGACACATACATGGTAGAGGGAGAAAAGTGACTCACATATGCACTGTTCCATGTGCATCCACAGTCACACAGAATAAAACATCTTACATGACGGGGCGGGGCTCGGGCTCAGTGCTGGCATGCATGTGTAACACTGTAGGTCTGATCCTAAACACTGCAGAAAACAACAAGGTAAAAATTAAAAAAACAACCCAGTCTTTTCTCTGGTTGAGAAAAGAGTCATGTGATGGAGCACAGATTCCTCCTAACTTTTCTCTTAGTTACCTTACAGAACCAGGGAGTAGGTCTGCTAATTTCCTTGAGATGTGTTATTTTTCTAATGTTTGTATTTCAGATACTTCCCAGGCAGTTTATCAGTTACTCTGTTGGCTTCATCACTCTGGCCCATGATAATGCGGGGCTGGTAGCAAGGCTTGCTCTGCCTCCTCCCCATCCTGTCCTCTGGGAACTCGGCATAGCCCCGTGTGTGTGTGTGTGTGTGTGTGTGTGTGTGTGTGTGTGTGTATGCGGGTGTCACCTGGACTCACACTGCGCCGTCTCAGCTCTCTCCCACCCTGTAGCAGTGTGCCCAGCATGCTTGTGTTGAGTCCATTGTCATGTCTGTGTTAAATCTTTAGTTTCTTGTTTTTTGTTAAAGAGAAATTTGATCTCCCCTTGTCTGTTTTCAAAAGCGTTAGTGAACATCCCTGTGGCTTTGAAAGTGCAGTGAGGCAGCACTTGACTCGTGAGAATATGCTTATGGTGATTTGTCTGAAGGAGATCTTAACAGAACATGCCCTGTGTGGGTTCTACTGATGTGTGTGTGTGTGTGTGTGTGTGTGTGTGTGTACACGTGCGTGCGAGTGGGGTGGGAGTGGGGAGGGTGTGAAATTGAGTCCAACCTTCAGGAGTTGGAACTTCTTCCACCATGTGGGTTTTAGGAATGGAACTTAGGCCATCAAGCTTGGCAGCAAGCACCTTTTCTTACTGAGACGTCTCCTCCCCTTGTTTGGTGTTTTGAGGCAGGGTCTCACTATGTAGTTATATCTTACCTGAAACTCCCAAGTGTTGGGGTTCTAGGTGTGCACTGCTATGTCTAGGAATGCATCACAGTTTTCTGTATTATATGGACTGATATTAAAATAGATTATTTATGGGGCTGGGAGATGGTTCCACAGTCAGAGCACCCGTGACCTAAATCTGTTCCTAGCAGTCATATTAAGCTACTCACAATTGCCTTGCTCCAGGGGATCCAACACCCTTTTCTGTCCCGTGGACACTTGTACTATTGGCATGCATGCACACAAGTAAATGTACACATAAATAAAATTATAAAAAGAAAATAGTTTGTTTTAAATAGCCCAGATGGATCTGGATTTTCTGTAACTTGGAATCTAACCTGGGACTCAGTGATTTTGATCACTTTTGACAAAGTGAAGATGAATACATTTTTTCTGCACTGAGCAGAAAATCGTCACAGTCTGTTGATATTCTCACCCTGTCTATGTCATTTTTGTCTGTTTTCTGGTCATGGTCATGGCATATGCATGCACAAACAGCACCTTGGGTTTTCAGCTTCCTTCCTAAGCCTGCTCACCATGAAGCCAGACCCACACTGTGACTTCCTCCAAAAAGTCAGCAAGCCCCATATAAGGTGGTCAGACCACTGAGGCGTGAGAACGGTAGGAGACAGAGTGAGACTGCTGCCCTCCAGTCAGGGTCACTGGACTGAACTGGCTGTCTCCTGCAGGCTCTACAACTACCAGGCTGGCTTACCTGCTTGGGTAGGTGGTGTTCAAGGAAACCACTGGCAATGGCTTCTAGAGTGACAAGTCTTATAGACCCTAATCCAGGCAGTTCTCTGCTGAGGATTCAGAAGCTAATGAGAAAAACTTGAGAAGGCAGCGAAAGATTGACGGCTTATCCAGGCAGCAAGCGCAGAAGCAGTAGACCTCTCAGCGAGGCACACTCGACCTCCAGCGCTGATGAAGGCTTGCAGACAGCGGCTGTTCCGCCTGTTGTTTGGACGCCGACTCTGTCTTTGAGGGAAATCAATAACTTCAAAGGAAGAACAGTGATCAGAGTAACGTAACTTGACCAAGGACCCCGTGCATAGCAGCTGTGTTCTCCCCGGTCCATTCCCAGACCTTTATGTGCTGGTATGCCGTAGTCACGCAGAACTGGTGCACTCTGCAGCTACACCTCCAGACAAGGGGTGGGAGAGCACATGGTGGTATGGGGGGAGGGATTTACCAGCAATCAAAACGATAGAAGTTAAAGTAGTGAGAAGCTGATTTCATTTATCTTATGAGGAAAAAAGTGATTATAAGCAGAGCCAAGACAGTTCTGCAAGCCCTTCTGTCCTCTACATACCAGGGCGACTATAAATTGGAGTGGTTCATCTAAGGTGGATTTGACAGCGTGTTCCAGGATCTACTCATTCCTTTTGTAAAACTTTATTCTCAATGAACTGAGACTTACATCAAGTGCTAGTAAACTTGGTGGTGTGTACCTGTAATCCTAGCACTTGGGAGGAAGAGGCATAAGGATTGGGCATTCAAGGCCAGCCTGTGCTACCTGAGACCTTGCATCAACAAATTAATAATCAAAACAGCAATAGAAAAACTCTAATGAATAAAACAGAACACAGTGGCCAATCGCCTGTGCTTTCTCCTTTCATTTCTCTGGATAAACAGTATTCCATAATATACTAAGATACTCCTGGGCACTAGGATTTTAAAATCCCCTGGATTCAAATGTGCAATCCCTGGCAAAGACAACAGTATCATCACCCTGTGGGGATGCCATTCCTCTGATTTCCATGTCTTCTCGGTCCCTGGAACCCTCCTGCCTTCCTCTGCTCCTGTAGGTGTGGTCGCTACCAATACGGGGCTGAGAGGACGGTATACATAACCCATGTATAGTATGGTATCTTGTCCAGTAGCACTGAGCTAGACAGGAAAGGTACCCTGGAACTGGTGGAGTGCCTCATAGGTGTCCCTCAATGGTTCTCTCACGTGCTGTGGTGCAGTGCTTTGAAGAGCAGACTCCTCAGATTGCTCAGTTGATCTGGGCTATGTCTGGCCTGCGCTGCAAGTGATTTAGGCTGCTCCTCTGGGGTTCGGAAGTTGTGAGATTTGTGTCCTCTCTAGTACAGCCAGGATTCCTGGTGTTCCTGTGGATAGCTTGCTGCTGCCACTTGGCCCTTGGTGACAACACACAGGTTATCCTCCAACCATGACTGGTGAGACCTGTTTACAGTTGGCAAAGTCCTGTGACTGGGGACTGTCCTAATCACTGTCCTATTGCTGTGAAGAGACACCAGGACTCTTAGAAAAGAAAGGCTTTAATTGGGGGCTGGCTTACAGTTTCAGAGGTTTAGTCCATCATCATTATGGCAGGGAGCATGCTGACAAGTTGGCACTGGAGCAGTAGCTGAGAGCTACATTCTGATCCACAGGCAGAGAGAGACTCTGGGCTACTCATGGGCTTTTGAAATCTCAAAGCCCACCCCCAGTGACACACTTCCTCTACCAAGGCCACACCTCCTAATCCTTCTAATCATTTCACATAGTCCCACTCCTTGGTGACTAAGCCTATGGGGGCCTTATTCAAACTACTGCAGGGACCAGTTTTTCAAAGGTGGGGGTAACCCAAGCCTGACCTTCAGTGTCCATCATTGAAGTTGACAAGGGTGTGTTTTGCCTCACATAACATCTGCCTCTCTGTTTTTCAGGTTTTTAAATCAACCCTCTTTAGCATGGTCCTCTCAGCCCCATATTGGTAGCGACCACACCTACAGGAGCAGAGGAAGGCAGGAGGGTTCCAGGGACCGAGAAGACGTGGAAATCAGAGGAATGGCTCAGGCGCACAGTCTACCCATCCATGTGAGAGAGAGTCCATGGGAAGTCGCAGGAAGGACAGAGCATGTGATGAGAAAGGCCGTTTGGGAAGAAGAGCTACGGATGCCAGCTCCTGCCAAGTGGCAGAATGTGTGCCCAGAAACCTGGCAGCAGCCAAGGAAGTTAGGGAGGCAAGTGTCTGATGGTGAGAGAGAGAAAATGTTCCGGGATCTGTACCAGTTCGTTCAAGGAGACCACATGCCCATATCTCAGAGCAAAAAAAAATCCCAGTCATTGCCTCGAGTTCTTTCTCCGGAGAGCCTGAGTTTCACAGAAATTCCTGTTCCGCTGCATGATGGGCATTTAACAGGTATCCCCAAAGCACCACCATACCCTCCCAGTTGGCCACCACCTTCGGAACCCACAAAGAACCTTGAGAAGTCTAGTTCTTCAGGCCCTTTTCCCAGGCCTAAGTTCGGGAAACCCCTTAAGACCCAGTGTCACCGCTCTCAGCCACAGCCCAAGAGAGAAGATGGATTTCAGGACCCCCAGCACAGGGAGCCACGTGGCTCCTACCCAACAAGAAGTAAGGATTCCAGGCTTGAGCCGGGTATGCTGGATACTGGCTTGGAGCCTCCAGTGTATGTGCCTCCACCTTCATACAAATCACCCCCCCAGCACATTCCCAATCCCTACCTTGAAGATCCTGTGCCCAGGCATCTGAGCAGCAGCCAGAGTCAACAGCAGCAACTGCCTGAGAAGGCTGAGGCCAGTTGTCCACTTCCTTCTGGCTCCCTTGCAGCTAGGAACCTCTACAGTGCCACGCCTGGCTCTCCCCCTCAAGGTCGTCCTCCACACCCCTATGTTGCCACCCAAGGGGCTTCTGTTCAGTACATCCCATTTGATGACCCGCGGATCCGACACATCAAGCTTGCTCAGCCCCCGGAACTCTACGAGGGGGCGAAGCTTGACGACAGACCCTACAGCTCTCGCCTCGCTGCCCAGGAGCCAGCACCCCTGTCAGTCAGTGAGCAGAGCTCAGCCTTTGCCCGCTCCAGTCCGCGGTGGCTGCATGGCCATGTCCCCATGGACGCTGAACATGGAGGTTTCCCCAGCCAAGCAGAAGAGCTTGTCATGAGAGAACTAGGGGCTGATGTAAGAGACAGTCCGGCAGAAAGTCATGCCTCCTCCCCACAGCCACAGAGTGAGGGTACCTGCAAAACCTACACTAAGCTCAGAAAGTTTGAAACTGGGATTCAGACCAAGAAAAGTTCAAAGAAGAAAACCAACGCAACCATATTTTGTTTGGTTTCTGTCCCAGTTAAATCTGAGTCACTTCTGCCAGATACGGATACGAACAACAATGACTTGAAGCTGGGGGCCGATAAGACGCATAGACTATGTCAGGGTGCAGCCCTGGAAGAGCAGAGTCTGCTGAGTATGTCTTCCACCGACCTGGAGCTGCAAGCCCTCATGGGAAACATGGCTTGGAGAAGAACATCCCCAAGGCAAGGTATGGGGGAGCCAGACGACTTGAGTCAAACTGATGACCTCAGAATCCTCCACCTCACCAAACCCAGCCAGCTCCAGCCTCCTGGCTCATGGCCAGGCTACCAGTGCAGAGATCAGCAGACCCAAACCAGTTTCCCTGAAGACACCAAGAGCTCACTTCTCCCCCTTGCCATAAAACCGGGAGAGCCCGGCAATGCAGCCCTGACCCCAACATGCCCAGAGCCCACTGCTTCCGAAGTATGTGTGCATGCAGCCTCAGCATCTAGTGACCAAAATCAGAAGCCCAGTGGACCTCACCTCCGAGGCCAGATGTCCCTCAGCCCATCTCGAAACAGTGCTTTCTCAAGGACTTCCTCAGCCTCAAACCAGGCATCTGTGCCAAAAGGGGCCTCTGGTCAGCCTCCTAGGGCCAGCCCTGCACCCAAGCCAGAGGTGGTGAAGGGGGAGCCTACAGCAGGCCAGTGCAACAGCACACAGCTCTTCGGTCAGTTTCTCTTGAAACCAGTTAGCCGCAGGCCCTGGGATCTGATAAGTCAGTTAGAAAGCTTTAACAAGGAGCTTCAGGAAGAGGAAGAAAGCCATGGTGCTAGCGGTGGGAGCAGTAATGAGGGCAGCGAGGCCGAACAGCCCCAGGATAGTGCTGACTCCAGAGCCAAGACCCGGAGCCGTGAAACCAGCCAGGAAAAGAGAGCAGAGCCGCAGCCTACAGCACCGGCGCTCGAGGCAGAGTTCCAGGCAGAGAGCTGGAGAGAGGAACCAAAACCTGGCTCCCCAAGTGCCCATCCTCAGTCCCTGGGCCAGTCACGGGAGGAAGACAGCAGAGGCGTGCTTGTCCAGTGGGCGGATGAAAGCCTGGGTGCAGAGCAGCGAAGCCAGGAGGTTCCGAATGGGGTATGTGAGCGGGACATTAGCGTGAGTCCTCTAAACAGGATGGCTCCCAGTGACACAGAAACAGCCCCCTTTTTCTATCAGGCAGAACTGAGAGGAAGTCAAGAACTCACCAAAGTCAGCGATGCTTTAGGGTCCGTGCAGCTGGACAGAGAGACCCCTCCAAAGGTGAATACTGATGAGGAAGGAGACACAGAGGTCCTCCTGTCTCTCGCTGACAAGTACCGAGGCCTCTCAACCCCAGACTTGTGGTCTTTGTGGCTCCCACTGGGACAAGAGCAGAGAGTCTCCAAACCAGAACCTCTGAGTATAGAGAGTACAGTGGAAGTCTTCCCAAGTGAGTCTCTGCAGGAGAGGGCGGAGAGGATCCTGGGCATTGAAGTGGCTGTGGAGTCCCTCCTGCCAGGTGCCGGGAGAGGAGGACAGAGGCAGCTCCCTGAGCATGGTGCAAGTGCCTGCAGCCCAGAGTCGTCCAGAGAGGACTCATCTCCCAACTTGGCGCCATCCGGGGGCTCCTCCGTGAGCACTGATGCCTTCTATGGCAGGAGAAAGTGTGGCTGGACTGAGAGTCCCCTCTTTGTAGGGGAAAGGGCCCCCCAGGCTTCTGTGTGCTCAGATGTAGACGGGTTCCGGGGAAGCCAGGCCACCAGTCCTGAGCCTGAGAAAAAGGACGAGGAGGCAAAGGCACCCTTCAAGTCCACTCTGTTCCATTTCATGGAGAAGACTGCAGGCGCAGTAGGCTCCGAAAAGAGGCTCCGAAGCCCTTCCAAAGTGATCGAGAGTTTGCAGGAGAAACTGGGGTCGCCCCCAAGGAGGGCAGACACAGATCGCTTGGTGAGAATGAGGGAGATCAGCTCCTTGTCTCGGATGAGGTGTCTGAGCTCCAGGAGTGAGGACTCCACGGAGGAGCCCGACCACCTAAAGGCCACCAAGAATCATGTCTCTCGGGGTGTCATCCCGCAAGAAGAAAATGGGCACCCGGAAGTGCTAAGGAAGAAGCTGTCTGATCAGGACTTGTGGTGTGCAGGTGAGGAGTTGGGCTGGAGAGTGGGTGCTTGGTGTCAGTTTGGAGCCATGTGACCATGACTAGCATAGTTCCTGGTGTCCTAAGCTCCCTGGGTATCCTAGGCTCAATGCTGGCAACGGTTCCATAGAGAGATCCTTCTTGCAAGGGTGGTGGCACACGCTTGCCATCCCAGCACCTAGGGCACTGATATGGAAAGAACTTGAAGGCTTGAAGGCCAGTCAGGGCTACATGCATCTCTGAGCCCCAGGTAAAAGCCAGGAGAGAACCCAGCTCATAGAGTCAGGGGTCTGCAGACATGCACAAGAATAATGAATACATGAAAAATCAATCAAACTCATTTTTAAATAATGAGTTTACCCAGAAGCTTTCTCAATTAAGAATCAAGATCTTGTCCTGTATTCTGAATGATTATATTATTGTTTAGTTGGCTAAGAACACATCACATGAAATTGTCCTTATAAACAGCTTCTGAGGATGGAGCGCTCCAGCCTGGCCGCAACAGCGCAGGGCCACATGCTGGATCCGGAACGTTTGTGCGCTTGTTTCCTGCCAGTGGCCCTGCCGACGGCTCTTTGTCAGCTCGTTATTTTACTTTTTGTTGTTGTTTTGAGATGAGGTCTGTCTTTGTAGAAAGACTGGCCTCCATTCACGGAGATCCATCTGCCTACAGAGGCCAGAAGAGGGCATCAGATCCCCTGATACTGAAGTGATAGACAGTTGTAGAGATATAAAATACACACGGAGCTGTCAAAGTCTCCATACGGAAGGACCTGAAATACCTTAATACTTTTACACTGAAATGTTACATGTTGAATGATAATATTCTGGAATGATTAATATAATATATTTTAGGTATATTTGGTGAAATAAAGTATGTTATTAAAGATAATTTCACCTGTTTCTTTTTGTTTTAATGTGGTTAACAGAAACTGTAAAATAACATTACATGGCCCACACTGTTTTTGTTGGACCTAGACCGCCTGTGAGCTAAAGAACTTATTGTTCTAGAGAATTCTTTTTATGACTCCATTGAGTCCTTAGCATCAACTGTGGGTCTTAGGATACGGGTACATTGTGTACCAGAAACTGAAGGGAGCAGTTTAGTGCCCAGTGCCTGTGTGATTTGAGGCTTGGTTCCTCCCAGGCCTCCCTCTCCCTGGTTAGGGGTGAGGCGCTTCACATTCTCCGCCATTAGCAACTCCACTGTATTCTCGGTACAATCGGATACCTTGAACCCCACATATAGTACTGAGCAATAACTCTCTTCTAGTGTGGTCATGTGGTGTTTCTAAGGGCAGGGTCAAGAGGTGTTAAGTTGTGGGAACTCTACTTCCTTTAGCCAGGTGGCCTTGGGGCGCTCTGTCACGTGAGCAGGCTCGAGTGTCTTCCCCGAGTGCCAGCCTGTCTCTCTAGTATGTGGCACCTGCAATGTGCTTCCAGCACAGTACCTGGCATGCAAGTGTGTGCCAGTCAGGGACAGGACATGGTGTGGCTTTAGGCTGCAGTCGGTGGGAGGAGGCCCTTCACATGGCATCTTTCTCCAGGTGCATTTCGGAGCCTTCTTTCCTAATTGTTTTTATATAAAATCGTGCCATCCTGCAAGCTTTTACAAATCACCGTCTAGGCTATGGTAAGCCTTGCTGTTACTTTTTCTCTATCCCTGTTGAGGTATTGGCATTAAGAGCGTCTTTAAGATGCACATTGTGTGTGAGTGACCACATAGTGTATGCTAAGTCAGATGATCAAGTTCATTAGCATATCCACCATCCAGCCGCCTCTTGATGGAGTCAAGAATCCATGCGCTGTGCACTGCATCCACCCTGATGTGCCGACCTCAGGCACCTGTGCATCTTACAGTTGCAGTTTATACTCTTCCAGTGCCTCCTCCCTTCCCCAACCCCAGCTCCTGGAATACAGGCTTCACTTAAAAAATTCTACATGTGCCATGCAGTGTTGTGCTTTCTCAGCTTAGCACAATGTCCCCAAGGTTCATCATGTGTCATTTTAACTGACAAGATCCCCACCCCCTTTTTGAGACTGAATAATGTTCCACTGTGTGTATATTTATGTATAGACAAAAATTTTCTTTACTTGTTCATCTGCTGTCGGACACATGGGTTGTTCTTGGCATGAGCAGTGCTGTAGAAACGGAACAGAGAGCATGGATGTACGGTCATTTTGATTTCCTTTCCAGTAGTGACATTACTGAATCATAGAGGACTTCTACTTTTGCTTTTATGTTTTGAGGAATCTCTATGTTTTAATAGCTATCTTGTACTCTTATAGATTTATAAAAATTTAAGAATGCTAAGGCAGGGGCTCTGAGCTCAGGAAGCACACGGGTGGGCCTGGCTTCCAGAGCTCCGCTCAGCAGCATGTGTTTCCCATTCCGTGGCAGCTGGGCTTACTGTCCCGCGGTACCTGCTCCATTTGGGAGAGCCAGGTCACCAGAGCTCAACATGAGACTTTCCAGTGCAGGCTGTGGAAGGTCTAGAAGGTGTGCTGACGGGCAAGCGACCGTCCCAGTCCTGCCTGCTGGCTGAAGCAGCTAGAGATAGGAGACCTCTTCCTTCTGACCATGCATTTGACATTTCAGGTTCCCCACGCCTGGAAGAAAAGGATTTGTCCATAAAGACGCTTTCATTTCCTCTCAAGGAGGGATAGGCACGCAAGGGTCAGAGTTCACATCTCTACAACAGAAGAGCCAGCCGTAGCAGCATGCTTGTACTCTTGATGCTGAGATCAGGCCAGTGAGCTCCAGGTTCAGCGAGAGACATTACCTTAAAAATAACGTGGGCACAAAGTGGAAAGCAATTGAGGAAGGCCTCCAATATCAACCTCTGGCCTCTGTGCACACTTGGGTGCACACATAGGAACACACACAAAGAAAACAGCAGAAAGAATCAGCCTTAGGCTAGGGCGTTGCTGATGGTGAAGGGCTGGTGAGTGTATTATTTATATTTATATTGTAATATGAGCACCAGGGAGGACCATCAGTATACCGAATAACTACACGTTTCAGCCATAGTTTTTTACTCCCTGGTGAACAAAGTTTGCTAAAGTGTCTACAAATCAGTTTTCTATACATGTGAGTCTTGTTCTCCAATTTATGTAGAGTCGGAGAATTTAAACATAAAACATGGCAGGTGAATGTCCCTCTGACCTTCCTTCCTTCTTGTTTGCAGATTCGTATGATCCTAGCCGAGTGGAGAAGGTGTGACGGATGCTGCTGGAGCCCCTGCCACCTTGGCTAACAGAGTGTTCTCTGTGAACTCTGGTGTCTCGTCCAGGCTAAGCTGGAAGCTGTGGGTTTTCAGTGTCTCAACTCCTCCTTCCCTGTCAGTGGGAAATCGGCCATCCCTGCAGAATTGTGTGGAGCTAAAGCATTGGGGTGCTGACAACATATGTCTTTATAGCATGGATACATAATTCCTATATTTAGAAAAGAGTTTTCACATCAGTTCCCCTTCCTGGTGGATTAGGCCGAGTGGGTAAATAGCTTGGTGTTAATCCAGTTTTATGTGAAAAATCAAATATGAAAGATATGGTGGGTGATTTTGATTGGACCATAATGTCACCCGTTCCCTGCCGCATCTGCCCAGCCCATGCTCATGTTTAGAAGTGTGGTCTGGGCAACTGCGTGGTATTTGGACACATACAGTTTTTTAAGGGGTATGTGAGTGAGTGTGTATGACCCATTTTTATTACTCGACCTTCGGCAGCGTGGGATAACTTTAAGTAACTGCTACCAGCAGCTTCTTTGTGTTCCTAGGGGTCACACTCACACTGTAACTCACCCAGAAGTGATTCACTTGGCACTGAAGCAAACATGCCGCACTCTGCTTTGCACTCAGTCTTTCCTAGGTTTTACTTTCTGTGTGAATGTTTAGATATTCTTTATATGAAAAATAATTGCTGGTTTAAAACAGACCATGGTAACAAAGTAACTATATTTCTTTTTATAAAATTGCTATTTTTCTATGATGTATAAACAGTTCTTAGGTGGCAGATTTTTAAGGAAGTACTATTTTATTTAAGAGTCTATACCTGTGTGTGTGAGGGACCCAAGAGGACCCACCTTGGCTCTAAAGCTGTATCCCTGCTCCACCCTCAGCTCTGTTCCTTGCGACTCAGTTTCACAGTATTAGTGAGGACTGATCACAAGCTCGTCAGACTCACAAAGATGTTTTCACAGATGGAGCTGTGGGCTTACATTTTAAGTCACTCCTCTCCAGTTGACCAACAACTTCCTCGGCGTTTTGCAACCATGTCAATGAGACTTGCCAAAACTCCATAGTTTCATCTTGTATTTCTGTGGGGAATCTGCCCCAGAAAGAAACTTTTCTCTTGCCTGCCACCTTGCTCCTTTACATAAAGATATATTTTTGTCTAGAATGATCCTGATGAACTAATCTTGCATATTCTAACAAGTGCTTGGAAACCGTACCTAGGCAGCATTCTCCACGCATATGCCATGATGGAAGGGTCAGGAGGCCCAGGGTTCTACTCCCGCACCTGCCTGCATACTTCATGCATTTTCACCCTTCTGTCTGAGGAAGGTATTCTTGCTAGCTAACATTTTCCAAAGGTTTTATCCCCTTCTTTCCTCTCCTCCCTCCCTCCCTCTCCTTTCCTCTTTTTTGTTTCCCTCTTTATATTAAGTTTTGAGACATTCTGTTAATCAGTTTTCAGACACGTCAGATTCTTCCAGTGTGAGTCCATGGCTGGTCTGTCCTCTGGCCCCGAGACAGACTTTCATGGCCTTGTATCTACATAATATTATTTTATTTCCTAAGAACTTCACGTCTCTGGACCACACAGAGCAGAATCCAAGTCCATACCATTGCTCCTGTTCATCTTAGTCCAGAGCTTGGCTCTCGTGGAAGCCGGTATGGGACTAGGTCTCCCTGGGGCAGCGGGCTAGCAGGTTGGTGATGTGCAATGCCTACACATGCAGACCCAGGGCATGTCCGTGTGCATTCCCATCAAATGACCCGATACCATCTAAAGACTGTAGGAGAAACAGAAGGATCCTGAAGGAAAGCTGTCGTGCCTTACGTATCTCAGTCTGGAATGGGATGCTCTTCCGTTTTGTCTTGTTTGAAGACATATATGTCATGCTTCCCTGCAGCCATTCAGTCAAAATAGCAAATATTTATACTTTAACCTCAATTTTTCCAGATTTAAGCCCATATGAAAATTTTTTTTGGAAGAAAGTGGCAACATTGAACTTAGTAACTTGAAAATTTGACCTTTAACTTTTCGTATCCAAGGTAATGAATATCTGACCAAAAATTGTTTTGCTGAGGTCTTGAGTCAATACTGACCATGATTCCCTATGTAAATTCCACGCGTGCCCATGACCGTTGGTGGAAAGTTTTTCGTATTCTGTGTTTGTCAATTGTTTTTCTCTTACACATAATTTGGAGCTTATAAAATTAAAAGTTATAATTTTGACCATTTTATCTAAAAATTATAGCAGAAATTGTGCCTGTGTTGTTTCTGGAATTGCAGAAGGGAGGGGGAAATGGTGGTCTTTGGCCTCTTTGGGGAAAACTTTTTGAAAGATTGAAGATGAAGTAGCCTTTACCATATTCAATTGTGTTTCTGTAATCCCAGGAAACCCTCTAGGGATGCAGCCAGTCCCTGGATGGGACCATCAGAATTATTTCCATAATTATAGACATCTATTTCCTTTATTAATAAAGGTAATGCGCATCACCTTTGGTAGTGTGGCTCCCTTACTGGGTTCTGGCAGAGCAGAAAGCCGGGGAAGGATTGCTGGCCGTCAGCCTGTGGCGCCCAGAGTGTGTCTGCCTACTGACAGCCCAACACCTCCTCTAGAGTGACCAGGGGAGTACACATCTTGTGAGCAGTTGTTAGTGTTGGGGTGCACCGGCTGTGGGATTGGCTGTGGGGGGCACCTGGAGTCAGGGTGAGGCACTGCCAAAGCTATTACAGCAGGGGGTCATCTGATTTCTGCTTTGTTTTTGACTGTACCTCCTGCACATCTGTGTGTGGGAGGACAGGATCTAAGAGACACATCCCAAATAGCCCTTGAAGAGCCTAAATGGTGGAGGGTCCTTGTCCCAGACCGTGGGTTGGTTCACTCTGTGACCCTCAATTGGAAGAAGAGGGAAATGATCAAATACCACCATAGAAAGACTGCTCCCAGCCTATATGTTTTGTTAAAAAAAGAATGGTGAGGTCAAGTCTATAAATTCAGACCGCAGCCCCTTGAAAAGGTCCCTGTGGTGTGACTGCCTGCTCACTACAACAATCCAGGCTTCAGCGGCATCGTGAAAGGCAGCCTAAACTCCTGCCGTTGGTGGCCTTGACTGTGAGAGCGTCTGTGTCAACTGGAATTATTAATGTAATGGAGGCAAGGGAGGGGCTCAGGAGGCTGCAGACAGCCCCGCCTACAGTCTGCAAGCCTTCTCACAGGACAGAGCTGTCCTGCTGCTACAGCCTCTACCCTGTCCTCCCCTCTGCACCCACACCTCACAGCAGAGCCCAGGTGCGTGACACTGAACAAGAGGGAGACCAAGGCAAGTTCAGGGCAAGAAGCAGAACCAGGCAATGAAGACCACATGTCAGAGTCAGGGAAAACTGTGACCTCTATCCAGATGGTAAACATCCATGAATAACTTACCATCTGGGTCAGCTGCCGCTCCAACTTCCACTGAGGCCTGTCAGGCAAACTGAGCATGCCAAAAATCATAAAATGTGGTAAGGCCCTGGAACCCAGAAGAACCGTGCATGCTCACCCTTTTGCCCAGCTTCCTTAGCTCTAAAGGCAAGTGGAAAGGGTTCTGGAGACTGCCCTGTGGTCACCTCCAGATGGGGCAGTCCAGGAGACTCTTGAGTAATGGGAGGTCAAGGCAGGCAAGAAAGAGTCACACCGAGCAAAGCAAAACAGCAAAGCAGCAGGTGGGATGGCAGGAGGGAGGCCTCCAAAGAGCATGCTTCTCTACAGCATCTCAGGATGGCTAAACTGTGCTCCGGATAACTTTCACAAAGCCGCGTGTGTCTACAATCTGACTGCCTGTATACCAAGTGCAGTGGCTCAGGGTATGGGTGCTGCAGGCACAGGTGACAAGGCACCTTTGCTCTCCACCAGGACTCATTAGGGTTGGAGGTCCTGAATGTGACGTCTCCCGCAGAGACTCACTGATGAGTGACTTATGGATCATTCCAAGGACTGGGTACAAATTCCTAGTCACTCCTGGATCACTATCAGTTCTTGGCTTCCTTATCTACCTCTCTTGCAAGGATAGAGCCATCAGACATAGAGAAATGACCCTTGCATGAATGGGTACCCAAAGCATGGAGAATGCAGCCAAGCTTGACATAGTGGAGAAAGTTCTGCTAGGGCACTTTGTGGTGTGGGAGGTCCTTCTGTATATGTGTTGCTTTTATCAGTTAATGAATACTCTGCCTTGGCCTGTGATATGGTACAATAGAGCTAGTTGGGGAAAACTAAGCTGAATGCTGGAAGAAAGAAGGTGGAGTCAGGAGATGTCATTTAGCTGCTGCTGGGAACAGACATGCCTGAACCTTACTGGTAAGCCACAGCTACGTGGAGATACACAGATTAATAGAAATGGCTTAAATTAATATGTAAGAGTGACGAATATCTTGCATATCACCATAGAACCTTCATCTGGAGATGGATGGAGATAGAGACAGAGACCCACACTGGAGCACTGGACTGAGCTCCCAATGTCCCAAGGAGGAGCAGAAGGAGGGAAAATATGAGCAAAGAAGTCAGGACCACGAGGGGTGCACCCACCCACGGAGACAGTGGGGCTGATCTATTGTGAGCTCACCAAGGCCAGCTGGAC